GCTACAGATGGGCTTCAAACACAGTGTCCTCTGGGATAACTGACCCTCTCTCTTTATTCTCCACAGCCAGACCAGCCAAAGAAATGCTGCAGGATCACATCTCCATACTCCGGGCCTTGCACGAGAAGCTGGACCAGCGGCTCTGGGAGGACACGCAATGGCATAGAGAGACCTGGATGGAGTTGCTGCAGTAGGGACGCAACATGTGCGTAACCGTACAGGCTCTCCTCACCCACCTGAAGCCAGCTCCTGCTGCTGCTCCTGTCCCAGTCCCAGCTCCGTGTCCTGCCCCATCTCCCATGCCTGACCCTGCTCCAGCACCCCTTCTTGCTTCTCCCCCTAGCCTCCACGCCTCCCCTGTGGCTGCCGAGGTCCCCACACACAAGGCAGAGGAACCATCCAAGCCACACACTACTCCCAACTCCAGCCCTGAGCCTCTTCTCCCCCCTCCTCCCCTTTCAGTTTCCTCTCCCCCTCTCCCGTCCACCAGGTTCTTTTCCTGGTCCCTCCCCAGTTACTTCTACCTCAAATAAATAACTAAGCAGGGTTTTGTTTTTCAAAAACAAAGTTTGTTTTATTGTCTCTTCAGGAGAGAGAGGTGGAGGGGTGAAGGGAGGGATTGTTGGAGGAAAGGCAGAGAGGGGCTAGGCACAGACCCCTAGTGGGGAGCCCCGGGGGTCCTTGAGAGAAAGTCTCCCTCAGGGCCTCCTGGATGCACACCCCCGCCTGATGGGCTTGCCGGATGGCAGCTATCTGTGGCTGTTCAAAGGCCCTTCCCTCCCGGCCGGCCTCTGCTCCCCACCCAGGGAGGAACACCTGCTCCTTCCTCTCACACAGGTTGTGGAGCACACAACATGCGACCACCACCCAGGGGATGTGGAAAGGGGCCTTGAGACACTGAAAGTACACTCTGCCTGCATGTGGGCCCTGCCCAGCATGGCATTAAAGTGGTCATTGCTGGGGTCAGGGTGTCAGATGTAGGGCTTCATGAGCCATGGCATCATAGGATAGACCGCGTCCCCCATGCGGAATAGTGGCATGTCTACGGCCCTGACCCTGATGATGCGGCTGGGGAAGAAAGTGCTAGCTTTCAGCTTGCGGAAGAGACTGGAATTGCAGAACACGCGAGCGACATGTGCCTCCTTGACCACCCGACGTAGATGTCGGTAAACTGCCAGCAGTGGTCGACTAGGGCCTGCAGAACCATGAAAAAGTAGTCCTTCCCATTTATGAAGAGAGATGCCCAGTGGTTGGGGGCCCGGATGAGGATGTGGGTGCTGACAATAGCGCCCCCCCAAGTCAGGGAAGCCCATGTCAGCAAAGCCGGAGACAATTGGGTCCATGTCACCGAGGTGGATGACCCTGTGCAGCAGGACAGTGTTGATGGCCCTCACCACCTGCAGAAGAAGACAAACAAACAAACAAACAACAAATAAACAGAGAATCACAGAGGTGCCAGAGCCTTTCAGAGATCACCGAGTCCCACTCTTCCCTCCCCAACCACACCAGGAGCCACCCCCTATGTAGTCCACATCCCTGGGCTGTGTGAGTGTGGGACTAGAGAACCACTCGAGGAAGGGGGATTCTCCTCCCCAAACCCCCAGTCTCCACAAACAAACAAACAAACAACAAATAAACAGAGAATCACAGAGGTGCCAGAGCCTTTCAGAGATCACCGAGTCCCACTCTTCCCTCCCCAACCACACCAGGAGCCACCCCCTATGTAGTCCACATCCCTGGGCTGTGTGAGTGTGGGACTAGAGAACCACTCGAGGAAGGGGGATTCTCCTCCCCAAACCCCCAGTCTCC